TTGATGTTTCTCTTTCTCTCTCTCTCTCTCTCTCTCTCTCTCTCTCTCTCCCTTCCTCTCTGTAATCAATAAAAATATATTTAAAAAAAAGAATGGGGGATGGGCAGGACTAGAAGTTGAAGATCCAGTCCTGCCATATTAATTGTACATGAAAAGAACAGTAAGCCCGGCCGGCCTGGCTCAGTGGGTGAGTGTTGATCTATGAACCAAGTGGTTACGGTTCGATTCCCGGTCGGGCCACATTTCCGGGTTGCGGGCTCGATCTCCCGTGTGGGGCATTCAGGAGGCAGCTGATCCAGGATTCTCTCTCATCACTGATGTTTCTGTCTCTCTCTCCCTCTCCCTTCCCCTCTGAAATCAACAAAAATATATTTTAAAAAATACTAATACTTAATCACTGTTCAATCATTCTAAATTGAGTTGAGTGTGGCAGGTGAACTACTTTTACATACAAAAAGTTTGAGAAAAACGTTTGATCAGCTACATGTCTACTGTGTGTGGCTTCAGGAAAAGTGAAAGAAAGCAGCAGCCACCTGGGTTCCCGTCTGAGTGAGGGGACAGCAGCACGGGAAACATCCCGTCCCAAATCACGGGATGAATGACTCAAAGCACCACGACATATATGAATACATGACCCACTATTTTTTTTAAATATCTTTAAAGTTAATTTTTAGAGAGAGAGGAAAGGAGAGAGGGAGGGAGAGAGAAACATCAATGTGAGAGTGAGACATCGACCGGCTGCCTCCTGCACCACCCCTGCCGGGGATCGAACCTGCAACCCAGATACGTGCCCTGACTGGGAATCAAACCAGCACCTTGCAGCGCACAGGAGGACGCCCAACCACCTGAGCCACACTGGCCAGGGCGGGAGCCACCAGTCATTAGTCGGTATCAGTCCAGAAGGAAACGCTTGTATGTGGTAAATGATTTCGACAAGGACAGCAAGGCCATTCAGTGGGGGAAGGACAGTCTTTTCAACAAATGGCGCTGGGAAAACTGGACACCACATACAGAAGGATGACGTTAAACCCTTCCCTTACACTGTATACAAAAATGAACTCGAAGTCCATCAAAGACATAAATGTAAGAAATAAAACTGTGAAACTCTTAGAATAAAATATAGCAAGAATTTTTATGACATTGGATTTGGCACTGACTTCTTGGATGACACCAAAGCACAGACAGGCCTGTAGATTTACAGAAAGTAAAGTGAGGAGAACATGGGGCAGAGGCATCATATGTGAAGAAAGGAAGATGGAGGATTTTTCAGAACTGAAGAAAGACACCAAACCACAGACAAGAAGTCCAATAATTCCAAGTGGAATAAATAAAGTCACACCTGGCCACATAATAAAACTGCAGAAACCCAAAGAAAAGGGGGGAAAAAAGCCTTATTAGTATCCAGAAGAGGAGGGAAAATTACTTTTCAACACACAACTTCCCAAGGAAACCTATGGAACCAGAAGGCAGTAGGGAAAGGGGCCTTTAAGGGTCTGAAAGATAACTGCAATCCCAGAATTTCATACCCAGCAAAAACATCTTTCAAGGATTTGGGAAATGATATCTTCCAACAACTAAAAAGCTTGACCTCAGCAAAATATCACTAAAAAGTTCAAGGATGTGCTTCAGACAGAAGAAAAACAACTCTAACAGAAGGAATGCCAAGTAAACAGGCCGTCAAACCTCAGAGGGAAGGCAGGGGAGGGGAGGGGGGGGGTAAGAGATCAACCAAAGGACTTGTGTGCATGCATAGAACAAAAATAGAACCAGAGACACAGAAGCATCAAACAAACTGTCCAACCTATGAGGGAAGGTGGAGGGTGAGGGGATAAGAGATCAACCAAAGGACTTGTATGCATGCATATGAGCATAACCAATTGACACAGACAGTAGTGGGGTGAGGGCATGTGCTGGGGGTTGGGATGGCCGAGGAGAGGTCAATGAGGGGAAAAGAAGACTTATGTGATACTTTCAACAATAAAAAATTTAAATTAAAAAAAAAAACTAAAAAAAAAATTTCTGTTGTTTAAAAAAAAAATAGAAAAAGAAAATGGTAAGTATGTGGGTAAACAATGACTTGTGGAGCTTTAAAAAGATAGGATTATGATACATGACAACAGTCAGGGTGAAAAGTCAAAGGAAAATGTTCGAGCCCTTGTACTGCCCCCAAAATACTTTAGATTCTAGTAAATTAAGGAGAAATGTAATTTCTGATGAAACGTCTATAAGAACAAAAGTGTATAAACTTCCAAACCTGTGAAGGGAAATACCCGGGAACGATTAACAGGTGATCCTCAAGGGAGGCAGGAACGGAGAGGAAGAGACGCGGCAGAAGGAGCAGGAAGCACCGAGGAGGGAGCAAGAATCCAGCGAGTCCCTCAGTGCCCACAGGGAACGCACGTGCACCGGGGTCAGGTGGCCCGGTTTCAGACCAAGCAGAACACAAGACTCATCTCGAGCTCATCATCACGCAAGAGACACGCCTTAGACATGAGGACACGAAAAGGGCGCTGGCAACAGAGATGTGCGGTTTGTAGTTCTTTGCCAACAGTACACCCTGTTTTATGTATTCCTTGTTTCTATGTGATTCACAATAAAGAAGTTAGAGTAGTCGCTCCGGCAGGTAGCTCAGCTGGTCGGAGCGGCGTACCAACAGCCAAGGTTGCAGGTTCGATCCCCGGTCAGGGCACATACAAGATGTAACCAATGAATGGCTGGGTGGAACAAACCCATGTTTCTCTCTCTCTCTCCCTCTCTCTCATCAGCCAATAAAAAAAAGTTAAAGTAGTAAAAGCAGAGAAAAAGATATACAGGGTGGGGCAAAAGTAGGTTTACAGTTGTGAGTACACAAGTTTATTTTAAAAAATATATATTTCATTGATTTTTTTACAGAGAGGAAGGGAGAAGGATAGAGAGTTAGAAACATCCATGAGAGAGAAACATCGATCAGCTGCCTCCTGCACACTCCCTACTGGGGATGTGCCCACAACCAAGGTACATGCCTTTGACCGGAATCGAACCTGGGACCCTTCAGTCCGCAGGCTGACGCTCTATCCACTGAGCCAAACCAGTCAGGGCTAGGTTGCAGGTTTGATTCCCAGTCAATTCCCAGTTGGGATGTGTACAGGGGGCAACTGGCCAATGTTTGCTTTTCTCTCTCTCTTCCTCTCTCTCTCCCCCTTCCCTTCTCTCTAAAAATCAATAAAGAACATATCCTCGGGTGAGGGTTAAAAAAAGAAGAGTGTGATACTGGCTTGGGTTAGTGAGAGCATTGTCCCAATACGCCAAGGTTGTGGGTTCAATCCCTAGTCAGGGCACATACAAGAAGCAACGAGTAAATGCATAAGAAGTGGAACAAATCCATGTTTCTCTCTTTGCCTCTCCCTTTCCCTCTTCCTCTCTAAAATTAAAAAAAAAAAAATTTTTAAATAAAGTATGTGATACTAGAGGCCTGGTGCACGACATTCGTGAACTGGGATGGGGGGACCCTCAGTCCGGCCTGCGCCCTCTCACAGTCCGGGACCCCCGAGGGGTCCTTAGTGCTGCTGAGGAGGTGGGAGAGGCTCCCACCACCTCCGCTGTGCTCACCAGCCACCAGCCCGGCTTCTGGCTGAGCAGCGCTCCCCCTGTGGGAGCGCACTGACCACCAGGGGGCAGCTCCTGCGTTGAGCGTCTGCCCCCTGGTGGTCAGTGTGTGTCACAGCGACCCATCCTTCTTCTGTTTGGTCGATTTGCATATTAGGGTTTTATTATATAGGATCGGCTCAGGACAAAACCAGGCCATGTGACATAAAAGCAGCTCAGAAGCAGATCTATGTATATCCTAGAAGGACACCAGCTGTAGCAGAAGGGCACTGTGGCTCACGGGGAAAGAACAGGTTTAAAAAATGGTGGACAACGGTGTATCCAGGAAAAGGAAAAGGCAGACCCCACGTCAGGCCATAATGAAAAGTTAACAGGGTATCGCACTTTCCAACAGAGAACGCCAGCCAACAAGACGGCAGCGGAGGAAATTTCCACACAAGGGCCACGGGCCCACACCCACACCCACCCTCTAAAATGAGCCTGTCACAGCCGGCCGGTGTGGCCAGTGTGGCTCAGTGTCATCACCTGTGGACCAGCAGGCTACAACTCGATTCCCGTTCAGGGCACATGCCCGGGTTGTGGGCTCGATCCCGTGCAGGAGGCAGCCGGTCAATGATGTTTCTCTCTCTCTCTCTCCCTCTCCCTTCCTCTCTGAAATCAATAAAAATATATTAAAAAATAAAATAAAATGAAGCCTGTTTCCTTCTCCAATATATGGGCTTCACAACCAAGTGTTAAGGTATTTCTGAACAAGCCTAATTATATTAGGTATTCCCAATTAGTAATTCCAAGAAAAATCCACTCCCCATCCTCCCACCCCCATTAGCTGCCATTGAATCATGTGCCCATCCTGAATTTTTCCCTTGGGTTTCTTAAGAATCAAGGACAAGGTGTTACCAAACTCAAGGGGTTCACCACTTGGGGTGTCCTGTTGAAGAAGGAACCTGGCCCGGCTGGCGTGGCTCGGTGGTTGAGCATCAACCTATGAACCAGGAGATCACGGTTCAAATCCTGGTCAGGGCACATGCCTGGGTTGCAGGCTCGATCCTCC